GGCCACCAGATAACGGAGGGTCTCCGCCGATCGCCAGACCACAACTGCGGAGCGAGGTGCGCAAGGCCTAGGTCTATATGGCCTTCTCGAGGGGGCGGGGCCTCGAGTCGCAACGCTGATTGGGCCTCGAGGTGCTGGGGGCGGGCCAACGCCAGGAGGGTCGCGGGCCATCTCTGAGCGCGCGTGGCTGCGGGATCCACCCGCTGTCGAGACCCCCGCGGCTGACTTCCCTGTTCTCGCGACACCCTCCGAAAGACAAACCTCCGCCCTCCGCCCGACCTCGCTGTCTTTTCCTATCCGCCTTCTTCCTGCCAGAGACTCCCTGTCCACTCCCTGCGTCCGTGCTGGCTTCTGTCATTGAGAGACTGGAGATTCGGGTGAAAACAAAACAGTATCTAGGAAAATCTTCGAGGAACAGTATCTATTTCCCAGACTAAAATGTTCTTTACTTGTTTTACCAGGACAAGACGTGCTGACATCTGCACCCAGATGTTTGTATCTGATGTCAGTTTTGCGATTTACGAGCTATGAAACTTTGGCCAGTTTACTCGGTCCCTGAAAACGGAGTTTGCTCATTTATAAAACAAGAATGGTTAGTAAGTTCTCCTTAAAAAATTGTTGTGGAGTTTAAATTAGATCATGCTTTTAGAACAATAGCCGCTACATAGCGTGAGGTTATTGTTGTTTCTCAAACATTTATTTTATTTATTTGTGATTTTCACGCTGCTGGCTCCAGGACTCAAACTTCAGCCAACCAAGTGGGAGTCCAGTGCCTTTACCACCATGCCACCTGCTGGCCCAAGAGTGAGGTGTTTGATTAACATGAGCTTTCTTCCATGTAGGTTGAAAAGCAAAAGATGATCACTCTGAAGGAATCTTAGCAAATACTTAGCAAATGTTTATGGACAGAATGTAAATGCACCTGCGACTTTTATTCCTCCTGTTTTCAGTCCTGTGTAATTTTTCCACCTCATCGGAGCACATTAAGCCCAAGAAGTTTGTAGGCTGCAGCTTGAACTCTTTTTCTTAATGGATTGCTCCACTTAAGATCAGGCCTTTTCACAGAGAAGAAAAGGCTTTCTGAGTCTTCTTTCACTTCTCAGTCTCTATTTGGATAGGGAACTAGAATCCTGTTCCAAATTGAAAAAAAACTTTGTGGGCACGAGTCGCAAATTTCTTGAGTCACAGCAGAATTGTAGTGTTTGGTGAGAAACCATGGGAAGTTTGCAGAGCAAAGACTAAATTCAATCTTTATTTTATCTTCAGTTCTGGGTTTTGAGGTCTCTTGGAAGAAAAATAAAGAGAGGGAAAGTGACATGTCCCTATTTAATATAAGAAAGTCAGGACCAGCCCAGGCGTAGTGGTTAAGGCGGCTGAATCCCACATGGCCAGAGAGGGAGAGGGGAGTCCTGACTCAGCCGCAGGAAGATCATGGGGCTTGAGTGGGCTGTGCATCTGCCCAAAACCCGCAAAGGAGGGAGACATGGAGAAGGGATTGAAGCCAACCGTCGCCCATGGGGGTGCCTTCTCACTTTCCCTGACTCTCTCTGGTGAGAGCACATGCCCTTTGGCAAATTTTAAAAAAAGAAACAATACTGAACACATAGGCTGTGGACACTTGTTACCGGCTGATTTCCACCGTAGGGAATGAGATTTGGCACAGTAAACAACTGAAGTGGAAAAGCTAACACGCTCCATGAGTCCGCAGCTTTCCGCAGGTGGGAGACACAAGACAAAGGAATGTCACACAGGGCGCCGACTGGGGGAGAACTTAGACTGCACTGGGGGCTTTCCTTGGTTGTTGAATCCTTTGTCCATCCTTTGAGGGGAAAAGGAGTCGTGAGAATTCCAGGGTGGCGGTGGAGTCCTAGAGAGGATGACCGAGCGTCTGGAGGAGAGCGGGGCACTATAGTCCTTAGAACATATTTTTGTTTCTTACACAAAAGTGTGTGACTAGTCGTGCCTTCTTAATAATCTATTAGAAGACCTCCCAAGAAATTTGTTTTTCACAGAATGAGATTTCCCTAGATTAAACTGGATCTGTCCCAATGATCAAATGGAATGGTAGCTCCATCCTCAAATAGAAGCCATCCTCTGTTTCCGGCAATTCACATTTATGGCCCTTGCTAGTGACACCCATCTCGTGCCCTGAAGGCGGCCCAAGTGGACAGGTATTAGAGTGCCTTCCCTGCTGCGTTCCCTCTACGTGCAGGGTGACCCTTCATCCTGCTTGACGGGCAGGATTGTTAATCCTGTCCCTCTCATACTCAAAAGTTTCCCAGAGGGAGCGATAAATTATATGGTCACCTTTGCGCCTCACCCTCAAACTGTCCAGCCCCCTCCCTGGGTCCCTCCCGAGGCCCCAGGCTTTATGAAGCCTCAGAACCGTTTCCCACACTCTCTCCCTCAGCTTCTCGACAACACCTCAGCTTCTCGACAACAGGTCCTTGAAGTCTTACTCAAACACATTGGCAGTAAAACTAAAGAACCCGGGAAAGGAGGGGATGAAGCTTAGCTGGAAAAGGCGAGGAGAACGGTCAGGACATTGACTTACCTTTGGCGTCTCTTACCAACTCTGAAGATAATTTCATGAGAGACGATCGAAAACTGCTAGAGCAGAGTAACTTTGGAAGACAGCACTCCCTGAATGTCTAAGTTCTGCAGTGTCTGCAGGAAGGAAAATTAGCCATCGCTTTGTAGTCACAACTTGCCTTCGAGCTGTACATGGTCACAAATCTGCCTGACAAACAGAAAGTGCACTTGGTCTGCTTGTAGCTCCACCATGAGCTAGTCTTCAGGGACTTGTGCGAAATCTGGGCGCCTTTTTTGTTTTGCCTTCAGGATCAAACTCAGGTCTATGTGCTTTTTTTTTTTTTTCTTTTTTTTTTGAGAGGTTTTTGCTATAGGGCGCGTGCGCTCGCCAGACAGAGAGAGACAGACAGAAAGTGAGAAATCACTCCCCAGAGGGGACGGTCACGCCACAATCGCAATCCCTTCTCCTCCATTCTCCTCTTGGGATCTTGGGCATGCACGCACACGCGCCCGGCGTGAGTTTTAAGCCACCGGGTCCAGGATGCGAACCACGGTCCACTACGTGGGAGTCCAGTGACATAGCCATTACGCCAACTGCTGGTTCCCAGGTCTATGTGCTTTTGAAGTTAGATTCTATTTAAAAAAAAATAAAATGGGGGCCAGCAGGTGGAGTGGTGGTTAAAGCTCTGGACTCCCATATGGCTGACTGTGGTTCAAGTCCCAGACCTGGCAGCTTGCTTTCTCATTTCCTATTTCTGTCTCTCTTTGGTGAGTATGCACCAGAGTGTACCCCACAGTAAATTTAAAAATAATAGTTAATAATTTTTTTTAGAGTCATAGCAACAGAAAGCAAGAAATCACCCCCCAGGGGCAATGGTCACACCACAATCCCTTCTCCTCCATTGTCTTCTCAGGATTTTGGGCACACAGGCACATGCACCTGCTATGAGTTTCAAGCCACCAGGTCCATTTGCTGGCCCCAATAATAAATAATTCTTAAAAAAAGAAAATAAAAGAAAACTCACTTCACGGTGAAAGAGTTAAGGCGAGGGATGGACTAATGCTTCTGGAATTTACTCTCTTACTTTTACCCATCACTCAGAAACAAGCTGTCCTATAGAGAGGGTGGATGGTCTGTTGAGAACGTGGGTGTAGGGGGCTGAATTCCAAGGTTGGGATGCTGTTCTACAAATTGTGCTATATGCTCTAAATCAGCAACCAATATATGGCCATATTTTTTTCTATTGCAAAAGTATAGGTCCCAAGACAGAAATGGTATGTGTGCTTTTCATAAATAATGCAGACTGGTGAGTTGTTTTTTTTTTTCTATCCCTACGCTTCTTCTTCTTTTCTTTTGTTACAGGGTACATGTGCTCACCAGAGAGATCGAGACAGAGAGAGAGAAAGTGAGAAATCACCCCCTCTCCCCGGGGTGATGGTCATGTGCAATCCCTTCTGCTCCATTCTCCTCTTAGAATTTTGGCACACACACACACACAAGTGCTTGGTGTGAGTTTCAAGACGCTGGGTCCGGGACTCTAACCATGGAGGCCTCAAGCACTATGCTACCCGCTGTTCCGCCTCCCCCCATGACTCTTTCATGTGTTAGTTTAGAGCTCTTGGTATGCCAGGGAGGAATGTTTCTGCCAGAGGACACAATATGATTCCATTGCATTGGAAAGCAAGACTGTCACCTGGACATTTAAAGCTCCTCCGATCATCAGGAAAACAGGTCAAAAACGGCGCAGGCTGGGGTGATTGATTCTGAGACAAGAGCTAAAAGGACTATGGAGGACACTACAGGCCTCTCCTGTTCGACTCTCGTACCGCCACGTCCAGTGGACCAGAGGACCAGAGGACCTCCTCCATTAACTTTACCCCACTAAGGAGGGGCCCTTAGTGTGTGACCCTGCAGAACCTGGTGTTTCGGCTGCAGGAGAAACAGCACCACCTGCTGGCCCTGGTTCGAAGCACTGCGGCACCGATCCGGTGGTTCAGCCCTGCCTCACAGGGCCTGCCTCACAGGTGGTTTTAGCCTTTAACGTAGAGCGCTTTTGCATGTCTTTCTCCACATGCGGTGAGGGAGTCTTGGCATCTCAGTGACAGGCCATCACTGAACTCTAGTTCAGTCAACCAACCGAGCAAGCCACCAGAGATGCTTCTAGTTGCTCCGTTTAGCACGGTTAAAATCAGAATCTCTGCGCCGACCCTGTAGCCCAGAGGGTTGATAACTAGGTCTGCACTGGGTCTTTTCTATCGTGTTCTGAACTGTGATTTACATATGGGCCAGCCTGGGTGGCACAGCTGCTCAGGCCACGGGGAAGGTCTGGGGAGGCCATGTGGGAGGGCTGGAGCTCTGCACCGAGATCTCTCTGTGCCTGGAGGTGCGATTCCACGATCCTGGCTGGGGCTGGATTGCAATGTGGGGATCCTTTTGGGGATGCCGTCCCCTCTTATGGGAGAAATAGATAGACTTTGAAAGAGAAAAAAAAGGTATTTAATTCATCATGCGCTATGCTATCTCTGAAGCAGAAGACACGTGTTTTGCTGGGGTCTTTGTACTCCAGCTTTGCCAGCCTGGCACTTCAAGAAGGGCCAAAAAAAGCATCGCGGCGCCGCTAAACAGCTCGCAGCGTGCTTTTGTGAAGCGCTTTCACGCGCCCAGATTTTCGGGGGCGGGCCTCTCGGGTGCTAATCTGCGATGATAAGGGAGGCGGTGGGAAGACTGAATGAGAGGGACCGGTGCAGCCAAAGCGGCAAAGCCAGCGCGGTTTACGCAGAGAGCAGCTCCGCACGAGCAGCCGCACCACTCAAGGAAGCTGACCCACGCCCCTGCCTCCCGCCCCCGCGCCCCACCGGCGCGAACCTGGCTGCGCCTGCGCACTGGCGGCCCGGAGCGCGGAACCCGGAGCCGCGGGCCGGCGGCC